ACTTGTCACCTGAACTCCACACAGAAGCCTAGTAAACCAGAGCTGGCCAATCTAGTAGGGTATAGTGTGTTTTTTGTCAGATTATGCCTGTAAATTTCCATGCCATGATTATAATCCACATAATCCTGGGGTGTTGAATGTTTATAGACAATAATAGGTGATTTCTCTACTGAAAAAGTACATTCTGGGTTGAATTGAGCCCTATTTTTCAATCAATTTTTATCTAATTCTCCTCCTGTGCAGGCCCCTAATTTTCTCCATGATCCCCTACATAGTCTTTTTTTGTGGTCTTAAGGGGACCCCCTCCTCCCCTTTTCAACAGTGGAAATACTGGCTGGATCCAACACATTACCTTTCCTAAAATCTCTTTTATGGCCTTTTCCAACAGTATTTGAGGAGGATGTGATGTCACTTCCAGATGAAGCTTTAGGAATTTCCCCTAATCTCTATGGTAAAGGCTGTAGAAATTGGAAAGTCCTAGAGCGTCATAATAGAGTACATGTTCCAGCTATTGTTTCTCCTGATCCTCAGTTTCTCAAGGGTAGGGAATTGGGGCTACGGACAGAGGTCTACCTACCACAGGGAGACAAATGGCAAGCCTATCCTTAGCATTCAGCAGATTTTTATCCAAGATGTTTGCCCTCACATTTCTGCCATTTGCATTAGTCTTCAAGAACTGGTTTTTCTCCCCTGGTCATCTTCTCTGGTCTCTTCAGTATACCTTCGTGAAATCAGCCTCCTGCGTTTCTCAGCTGTTGACAGGATCGGATTCACTAAACCTGGGATCCAAAAGCTCAGATCTGTCCACAGATATTTTTGAGTATCCCCCCCCTCCCGAACACCTGGAACATATCACAAAGCCATTTGGAAAGTGTATGGTTTCACTGGTGCCACCACGTATAAAACAGCGATTCTCAGACTTTGTGTCAAGACCCAAAAGTGGGTTGCAGCTTTCACATAGGCAGATCATGAGGACCAGAAGGGAGGAATGGGCCGGGAGAACCTCCGGGAGGTTCGATAGCCATTTCGGGTTCACCTCTGGAGAATGTGCAGTATGATTGTGCAATGCAGTCTGTTGCTTAACCGTGCTGTATGTTTATAAACGCTAAACGTGAAAAATAAAATACGAAAGTGTTCAGTATTAACTAATGTGAGATTCTTGCATTTTATGCTGGGGAAGGAGAAAGCAGTGTGGAGTTTTATTTAAAGACCTAGAAATCCACACAGAAGGAGGTGCAAGAAAGGAATCCCACAGCTTTTTGGTGTCTGCCTACACAGGGCTAAGGGTCTCCAGGCTGAGCGAACCTGGAAGTAATCCTTAAAGACTTTTTTTTTTTTGGCCATCAAGTCACAGCCAGTTTATGGTGAACCTGTAGGGTTTGCAAAGCAAGAGACGCTCAGAGGTGGTTGGCCATGGCCTGCCTCTGCATAGCGACCCTGGGCTTCCTTGGTGGTCTCCCATCCAAATACTGACCAGGACTGACCCTGCTTAGCTTCTGAGATCTGATGAGATCGCACAAGCCTGAACTATCCAGGTCAGGGCAATCCTTAAAGACAGAGCAACGCTATACTGTACAATGAGTTCATCCCCTATAAAAGTTTTTGAATACAGTAGGCCAGGGGTGTCGAACTCATTTGTTATAAGGGCCGGATCTGACATAAATGAGGCATTGTTGGGCCGGGCCATGTGTGCCATAAAAGTTAATGCCAGGCAACAGAGATATAAACTTTATAAAGGACACAGGCAAACGCAAAGATTTTTTAAAACTTCAGATAACACGTTTTCAGTGAGCTTGACACTCCTGCTGTAGACCATTCATCAGGCACAAAATGGCAATTTCTCTTACTAAAAAAACCAGAGTAAATTTCAAATCAGTGCTGCTGTGCACCAAGACTCCAGAAGGCAGGTGGTTAGTGAAGTTCTAAGATAGCCATTTACATGCATGTTCAGATGTTGGTTATCTTTGCATCCGATTGTGAGTGTGAGCTGTTGTGGTCAAATGAAAACAATTCCCCTGTATTGTGGCTGTTGCAACCAATGCTCCCTCTAAGCTGTGGAGTCTAGTGAGCAAAAATTCTACATTGTGAGCTACTGGCATTAAAGTTGTGAGTGAGCAATTTGGCTACCGCATAAATGAGTTTGCTCTGGAGCCCTCCTTCCTGAGCTAAGACAAAAATGTGTGAGCTGGAGGCTAAAAAACTGTGAGCTAGCTCACACTAACTCAGCTTAGAGGGAACAATGGAACTTGCAACATGTGCAAGATCCTGCACATTCGGCAGTAGACCAGAGCATCTGCTGTCCCAATCCATATGGGTTCCCATGTGCAGTGTCATCCAGTTATCAGACTGCAAATGCATAAAGCAGATTGGGAGCTCTCCCCCACCCCCCCACCCCCGGGCAGAGAGGGATCCTGTATGTCTTTTCACAAATACATCAGTTCTTTTCTTTTAAAAGAAGAGAATCAGATTCATGTCATATTCTCTCTCGGTGTTGCTGTTCATCAATAAGCAGCCTAAACTATTCAAAATTTAGGGCCATCTTTTCTGAGTAGGAAAGTTGTGCTGAAAGTGCAGCAAGTCTACCAAATGCAAGGTGGTCCCAGCCACGGTCTTGAAAATAATGTCGAAATTATGTTAATTGCATGCGCCTAATCTATGTAAATCAGCTACAGTCCTCCAGCACATGATAGGTGCTCAGTGTGGCCTTTGCTGCAGATCAAGCTGCTCATCTCCTTGATTTTAATCAAGGCCTTCTGCTGGTAATGATGTAAATCATGAATACATTAATCTCTCTACCATCAAAGATGTGTCTAAAGGGAGGTATTGGTCCACTGTGAGAAAACAATATATAACCGTTTTCCTTCCAGTGGGGGGGAATAGTTGAAATGTTCCAGGAAAACAGCTATGTCAGAGCTGTGAGGGAAATCCATGTTAAGAATTGCCTGCTTTCTTCATATAGAGTTCAGAACGGCCATGGCCATTGTGTATGTGTGAACTGAGTATGGGTGGTGGGGCTGGGAGAGGTGACATTCAGCTTTCTCCCTACACCATGTTCCCAGTTGAAATCTCACACTTACACAACACAGTCTCTGCAACGCTGCTGTTATTCCCCATGGGCCAGAAAGCATCCCTGGAACCTGTATGTTTTCCTTGGGGTGGGGGCAAATAGCAGCTTTAGGAAGGTTGTTTAGATTGGGGGAAGGTTGTGGGACCCTGAGATACCTTCCACCCTACTTCTTGGTCTAATTCAGCGGTTCTGCTATGGCTGATTTTCTATTTAAGAAACTCATGGGAGACCTGAACTCTGATGTTCCACATGTTTTATTTATTTATTTAATTCAATTTGTATCCCGCCCTTCCCGCCGAAGTGGGCTCAGGGCAGCTTACATTAAAAGTTAAAATACAATAAAACACAAATTCAATGCATGCGAAACACATCATAAAAATTCATATACATTGCAAGTAACAAGTCACAGATAAATACAGTTAAAGTGCTAGTGGCGGTAACTGTAGGCCATGATGTAGCAAATCTAACAGAATGTATGGCCAGAAGATGTTATAATGTCTACTCGGGTCCTTAGAAAGTTGTGACAAAAACACTGATCGTTGTGACGCCAAAAGTATTTTGTAGGTAAAGGCCTCGTTTTTTGGAGGCTTGAAATTACTTAGCTAAAGAGAATTAGTTGTGTTATTCCACATGTAAGCCATAAAGAGAAATGCCACGGTATCGTTTTGAATCATGCTTACATAGACGATGATTAAACAGGTCCAATAAAAGCTTTCTTTTCATTCTTTGGATACAACTTGACAACAGCAGCTTTCTTTTCATTCTTTGGATACAACTTCACAACAGCACATCAGACCATACTATGTCTCCATAAATTGAAATTGCTTAGTGTCTTATGCTATTTTTTTTGTTTATTCAATGGAAGATCACCAACCTTGAACACATTTTGTGAGAAGAAAGTTTGTTTTATGTAACTCACAAGAATCAGAAAAAATGGGATGTAATATGAAGTATTTTGAAATGTTAATGATGTCTTATCCTGTTAATAAAAAATGTTTTTTTTAAAAAAAGGTATTGTCATTTAGAAACCAGCATGTTAATTTAAACTACCATATCTTCCACCTGAAGGTCTTGCAAATTTATTTATTTATTTATTTGATTTATACACCGTCCTCCCCGTGAATGGGCTCAGGGCGGTTTACATCAGTCTTAATATAATACAATTAAAACACCTTTAAAATAACGATTGAGCTTAGATGAGTAGAAAATAATGTATGGAAAAACCAAAGGTATTTGGATTGTATTCTATCACTCCACTCAGTAATGTGCAATACTTTCCTTTGGCAGTACCTCTTTCTCTGGCAGAGGAGGCTCATCTTCTGAAGGAAGGCTCCTTACACCAGAGGAAGATCCCATATTTGTCTGAGTGCAGTTGTAAAGTCCAACCCAATATGTTCTCATAGTAATAGTTCTCATTGAAAGCACATTTGTAGTATATATTTATTTAAGGTCCTGGTTATCCAGAGATCATTGAATACTGCCACAGGAGGTGGCGGCTACAAGCATGGACAGCTTCAAGAGGGAATTAGATAAGCAGATGGAGCAGAAGTCCATCAGTGGCTATTAGCAACAAGGTATAGATAGGAACTCTCGGTCTGGGGCAAGTGATGCTCTGTTTTCTTGGTGCTTGGGGGGGTCAACAGTGGGAGGGCTTCTAGTGTCCTGGTCCCACTGCTGGACCTCCTGATGGCACCTGGTATTTTTGGCCACTGTGTGACACAGAGTGTTGGACTAGATGGGCCATTGGCCTGATCCAACATTGGCTTCTCTTATGTTCTTATTTAATATAGGGTTTCTGTTAACAAACAATGGACTGTTTAGTGGTTCCCCCAGATGTAGTGGATCGTAGCTGTTATCTAATTGTGTGCCTTTTTACGACATACCTCTTATGATCATCAACGATTAATGGTTTCTTTATATTCTCTCTCTCTAGGGCCGATGCATTAACTTCACCCGAGTGCCGTCTCAGTAAGAGAACACCAAAAGATGGAAAGCCATCACCGTTGGATTATAACCAAAGAAAGACAATGAAGCACTTCTACCAGAATCCTCAGAATACAACCCAGAAGGCTGCGCCATCATTTGGATCCACCATAAACCACTTATTCTGCACCAAGCTGTTACGTCCGCCATTTTCTTCTAAGCTTGTTACCTCATACAGTAGCTGTTCAGTATTATAGGATTTGCAGTGGTCATGTGAAGAAGAACGTCGGCTTTGCGTGCCTTGGTTTTCGTTGATAATCGAGGACAGGAATCACAAGGAAAACGAACCACCAAAGGCGCTCGCTTTTGTTCTCATCCCCTCAGTATTGTAGACAAGCTATATGTACTCGAGCCTTTCTGTGCCTTTACCAGGAGCTGCATTGTTTCTCAGACATGGAGATGGCACTTGTTATTTAAATACGAAAGTATTAGCCACCGGCAGAAGAGCGAAATTCCCACCAGGCTTTGAAAAATGCAAAAGTTCATTGCCTTACAGCGATGTCATATCACTAAATCCTTTTGAGTCCATCCCCACCACCACCACATCGGATTGTGCCTTACGGGAACCCTCTGACTGAAAATCTTGTCACTCTAACACTGAGTAGTGCACACGCTTGACAAAATGTAGACATGGGGCCTCAAGGTATTAGTGGCAAGGCAAGACTTTGCCCTTTAGTTTCCGAAGACACCTTTCTTTCATTATGCACCCAGGACAGGAAGAAAAATTAATAGAGCGTTATTCCACAGGAAGACAGCCTGCAAGCAGAGATCTTGAGCGGAGATGGAGGGACTGATGCTTCAAGGCCTCGGCACTGTGGCTGATACATCCCCCCCCCTTTCTTGCACTCAGCATTTAGTAGCGCATAAAAACGTGATCCTTTATGAACATATTAGTAATTCTAAGATTTATGTATTGTTGTTGTTGTTTTAATATTGAAAAAAAAAGCAGTTGCCACAAAGCTGGTATCTCAGGGTCCGTCTCCTCCCCCGCTCCCAAATCTCCAAGGGCTCTTTGGCGTCACAAGCCAGCAACTCTCTTTGCATGAGAATTTCAAAGTTTAATTAATATAATTAAAGGCAACAGCAAGCAGCAGCCTGTGAAGGTTTTGCTCATCTTTTTTATGCCTTTTGACATTGAATGACCTATTACTGTATGCGCATTACTCAGTTTTCGAGGGGGGCACCACGTCTTGGTGGAGATTCAACTGTGGGGCCAAAGGAGGGGGGGAGCCCCTGAGAGAGCCCTCTTTTCCTCAATTTATAAATTAAATGTACAGGAGTGCCGACCATTGGAAAATGTTGACAAAGTATATATTATAATTTTGGGGGTTGGAAACAGCGTTGTGTCACGTCGGCGGTGCCAAATTATGTTAGCGTGAGTGGAAACACTGTGGGGGAGGAAGGAGGCAGCAGCTGAAGAGAGAGGCTCAAATGATCCAGTCACTTTCGATACTGTACTTCAGATGCAAAATGGATATTCGAGTCGAAACCTGACAAAGTGCGCCTGCTTTGATGGGAACCGGTATAGACAGTGACCAGTGGCTGGGTCAGTGGGATGTCTCTCTGCGAGCAGGAAGGCTTATCAAATGACACTAAAAATAAGTTCAGCAACCATCACGTTTGAGGGGAAAAGGCGAATATTTCACATTCGGTGGGCATGCGTGTGCGCAAGACGGGAAAGAGCGAAGGGATGCGTACTGGTCTAATTATCCCCCCTTTGTGGCTTTTCATTGAAATCGCAAGGGACGTAAGACAATTCCCTTGGTCGGTGGCCAAACGTACGGCTCTTCCCAAACAAGACTGCCATTGTGACGGAGCCTCTTGCTTCCATCACACGTTGGCTTGAGATGATGTCTGTCATCGGTAGTGATGCCAACACTCCTTGTGAGCCCCCGTCTATAAAATCCTTTACCTAAAGGTTCTACAGTCTCTTCCCACTTTTACTAATACCCTTCTTTCCAGAACCGATGCATCATTTCACTGGGTATGCAATCCACTCTGGCTCGCTGGCGTCAACCAATAGACCCACCTTCCCATGTCATCACATGAGTTCCAAGAAGGCATTTCACAGGCTAACTCAGGGGATTTACGCTTGCTGTACAATTATTTAAATTTCTCGGATGCTACGCCATGTATAATGTGTGGGTCTAGCAATGTAAATAAAGTAAGGAAATGTGACACACTTTCTGCAAGCTCTAGCAGGAGTAGGATTCTGCCTCCGTAATCAGACCTACCAATCTTTTAGACAAGGCAATCGTTCATTAAATGCACAAACGGACATTGTACACACACAGTCTCTCTCTCTCTACAAGCAAAATTTATTTTATTAACTGCGAAACTCCTGGTGAAGTCTGTATGAATTTCTACTTCCTCATCTCACATTGAAAACTAAACCATGTCCATTTTCACTATGTGTTGACCTTGATAAATGGTACTTCAGATTAGGGTCAAAGCCCTTGAAACACTCTGTATGGAATCTGAAATAAATTTAAATATACCACATGCAAAGAAATGTTTTGGTTGAATTGAAAAATTCAGGAAATAATCTCTTTAATATCCCTACCAGATAGCACATATGAAGCCACCCCCTTTTTAAAAAGACATAGCTACTTTGAGAGGGGGGGCACCTTGAAACCTCTGCGTCGGAGGAGACTCCAGAAAGGAATATTTAAGGTAAAGGTGTTGCTAATATATTTGGGGCATTTAAAGAAGGTACTCTTTTAAACAAATCATAGAGTTTCAGCTTTTCGGTTTCCTAGAAATGAAACCGCAACATGGTTCTTTATCACAAGAGGTCCTTTTTGCAGAACAACAACAGAGAATTCTCGAATTTTACTGTTTCTCCCGTTTTATTATTATATTATTTTATTACAACCTTTTCATTTGCAATATAAATCTTAAGTGGTACATAATATCCTGACGACATACATTTAAATATTGATAGAAATACGTGGACTTGAAGACCTGTTTTCAAGAGACCTTGATTTCAATAAGAGTGCATGGCTGTTTATTGAATTCACGTACAGTGGGTTTTGGTACAAATGATCCCAAACATTAATAAAATCTATTAAAAACATTAAAGCAATACCTTTAAAATTGCAGCAGCCAGCCATATAAATATCTGACTCTGTTTTCATGGTACGTGCGACCAACTGATAATATTATTGTGGTAAGAGAAAAGTGGGTGGAGTCCCATAGAATCAAAAGGTCACGTGGGAAGGACTGAGAAAATACACACTTTTATTTCAACATGTTTCTAAAGTGCAGAAAATGGCACTGGAAATGACAGGATTCCTAGTGGTGCCAGAAGGTGTGTTACCCTTTCCACATGAATTATTTTTGATCTGGGTTTGTGTATGTGCGAGAGAGAGAGAGAGCCCTGAATAATGTGGCTAAACAGCAGACTGTTTGCATTTGTCTTTTTCCTGAAATTACAAATTTTCCTGTGTCAGGGAATATTGTTCATTATCTATGGAAGTTATTTAAACACAAAAGGAACCCCACCTTAAAAAAAGTAAATATATTAGCCATAATGGGTATCAGTTCCTAAAATCTTGTTAAAACTAATAAACTATCTGCATGTGTAACTGTGTTCCAAACCCTAAATTGTGTTCTGTCAGCATTTTTGCATCACACTGAAATCTTGGATAAAATCTGCATGTGTAACTGTGTTCCAAACCCTGAATTGTGTTCTGTCAGCATTTTTGCATCGCACTGACATTGGTCCACTTGCTTCTTTACCTTCCCCCAAAATATTATTTTTGCTTATCGGTCCCCACCACCACCACCACCAATAGTCAAACCAGCTTATTAAAATTCATCAACACCTTTTTGTTTTCCAGTCCTTGACTGATACGATCGGTATTTTGAGAGGAGCAGATTTCAAGATCATTTCGCTTGTATGATGTTTGCATATTATGTATGGATGTAATGCTGCCCTGATTCAAACTGTGGGAATTAAGGTTTATTTTCATTGAATACTTTATGATTTGGTTACAAGAATGGTTGCATTGCAATGCCTATTCTATGTAGTGTGGATATATGAAAACAAGAATGGTTGCATTGCAATGCCTATTCCATGTAGTGTGGATATATATATGAATTACACTTGCCTTGAGTGTTGGGTGTGTGTGTGACAGTATTGGACTTCAAATGTCTTTTACGTTGACACTGCAGCCTCAGACTGAGGTTTCAGGTAACCACTCCAGTGCAAAGCAGCATCTGAAATAAAATACCTTTTAAGGCCAACCAAAACCATGTGCAATGTTTTGAGTTCTCTAGGACCTTCCATCAGGCTGGATGTTAAAGGGGGTGGACAGAAGATTTTTCACACCCTGATCTTAAGGACTTTTGTCTGCATCAGTTGCGTTCCAGATAGCTATGAATAGATAAAGAGGTGCTGAATGGATATAAGAATGCAAGAAGACCCCTGCTGGATCAGACCAGTGGTCCATCTAGTCCAGCATCCTGTCTTATACAGTGCTCAACCAGTTCCTCTAGAGGACCAACAACAGGGCATAGAGGTTGAGGCCTTCCCTGAGAAGAACATAAGAAGAGCCCTGCTGGATCAGACCAGTGGTCCATCTAGTCCAGCATCCTGTCTCCCACAGTGCCCAACCAGTTCTTCTAGAGGACCAACAGCAGGGCATAGAGGCCAAGGCCTTCCCTGATAAGAACATAAGAAGAGCCCTGCTGGATCAGACCAGTGGTCCATCTGGTCCAGCATCTTGTCTCCCACAGTGGCCAACCAGTTCCTCTAGAGGACCAACAACAGGGTATAGAGGTTGAGGCCTTCCCTGCTAAGAACATAAGAAGAGCCCTGCTAGACCAGACCAGTGGTCCATCTGGTCCAGCATCCTGTCTCCCACAGTGCCCAACCAGTTCCTCTGGAGAGCCAACAACAGAGGCTGAGGCCTTCCCCTGGCATTGCGTCCTGGCTCTGGGATTCAGAGGTTTCCTGCCTCTGAATGTGGAAGTTCCCTTTAGTCACCAGGGCTGGTAGCCACTGATATACCCATCCTCCATGAATCTGTCAAATCTCCTTTTAAAGCCATTTGTGCCTGTGGCCATCACTCCATCCTCTGGCAGCGCATTCCACATTTTAATCTCTTGCCATGTATAAAACAGTTGAAACATTTAAGGAAGCGCTACAGTTTGGATCTCATGACTTTTCTCATGCTTCTCTTGGGCGCCTGCAGAGTGGTTCCTCCACTGCAGTGTGCATTCCCGCTGCTACTGGTGCTTCTGCATGTGCAAGATCAGTTTTCTTCAAGGATTCCTTGTGCATGCAAGAAGGGCTAGCAGCAGAGGAATCAAGTGCCACAGTGGAGGAAAGCCTCCACAGCAGTCAAAGAGATGGGCGAGGGGGTCATAGATGCAAGCCTATATTCTGAAATCATTTCTGAGATCGGAAAGGAATGACCTTAACACAAGAAGCCAGCGTACCTTTCGAATAACAAGTGACTGTAATGTGGGCAGTGGGTACAATCCAGCCCATACTGTGGAAATCCCGTTATTTCCGGTGGAGGACATTTTAACATCTTCTTCACTCTCCATTGAAATGCATGGGACTTGACTGTGACCCCCTGGTCTTTATTTTTATTTATTTATTTATTTCACTTTTACCCCGCCCTCTGCACCAGGCGAGCTCAGGGTGGCTTCCAAAAACCGATAAGCAGTATACCTTTTACAGTCATAGAATAAAATACATCATTTAAAAAACGTAGACAAGTCTTTAGCCGGTCTTTAGTTAAAAGCTCTCACAGCCCAGCCTTGTGCTGAAGCAACTACTATGATGTTAACAAGACGAGGATATTAGAGCGGGACATCTCTGGCCTAACTGACTGGAAATGCAAAGGAAATTCTTATGGCCACTGCAGGTTTGTGCAGGTGCCTGGGGCTTAGCACAGTACACAAAAACCTGATGGTTCCCCGTGACCCCGCCCTTCTCAGGACCTTCCCCCGTTTATATTATTGCAGTGGTGGAACGTGGCATCAAGTCACTGCTGACTTATACTTTCCATTTCCATTTATTAATCGCTTTCCCCAGTATGGCTACTCCTCATGGGGTTTTCAGTACAAGAGATGAACAGAGGTGCCCTGACCCGAATAGCCCAAGGCAAGCTTGATCTCATCAGATCTTGGAAGCTAAGCAGGGTCGACTCTGGCAAATACTTGTACGGGAGACCTCCTTGAAATACCAGCCGTCGGAAGGACAGGGCCACCTCTCTGAATGTCCTCCAGGCCCCCAAGAGGCGTCAGTCACCAGAGGTCACCGTGACTTCCAGGTACATGCACACACACATGCACATATGAAATATACAAAAAATACCAAAACAAGAGATAAGCAGAGGTGGTTCTGCCATGGCCTGCCTCTGCACAGCAACCCTGGACTTCCTTGGTGGTCTCCCAACCAAGCACTAAGCAGAGCCGACTCTGCTAAGCTGATGAGATCCGGTGAGATCTGGCTAACCCGAGTGATTCAGGTCAGGGCTTTTATTATTGTACTGAAGAAGTATTTTCCCAGGTATTTAAGCTGTGGCAGATAGAGGGTGCTCAGAACATGGGTCCCTAGTGCCAGCTGAGGAAGCTCCGTGCCTCATTGGATGCCCTGCCCAGCAGAAAGTGTAGGTTTTGGTTCTAAACATTACACTGTTTTGACCCTGAAGGCACAAAACAAAATAAAACGTCACCCACGAGGAAAAAGCTCCGGAAAGAATTGACTTCCAAATAGAGCAACAAATAAAATACCAAACGGATGAGAAAGCGAAATGATAGACATTCCAGTGGCGACGGGAAGGACAGACCAGCAACTGTAACCCACCACACTGGGCCCGTTTCAAGGATCTCCACCACATCGGATTTGTATTTACTGCTAATATGATAATTGAACTAATTGGTGCAAATTGAGATGAAACGAATCATTGTTTTGTACTCCTTCTGTTTCAGCTTGTTTTTAATTTAACCGGAAATCGTATGGTTCTCACTGAGCGTTAATCTCTTGGGCTGAAACAAAAAGAGACAGTTCAGGCTGTCTGTTATTAAACAGAAACGTATGAGAATATTATTCAGTGCCATAACTGAGGTTTGTCCTTACTGGGAAACATTGAGCAAAAGAAAACACAAGGCTCAGATTGACTGGTTCATATCCATGATAAATCTGCTTCGTCTTCACCTTATCTAGTTTCATGCCACTCGTTCGTAATTCATTGCTAATGTGTTAAAGGCTTACACGATGCCTTTTCATTAAATCATAAGCAGCTCTGGGATATCAGAACTATTATCTATAAACCGCTTGAACCGCCAACTTCCACTTTCCCAAAAACCAAAAAGAAAGGAAGGCCGGCGAATAAAGCAACCATGGACCTGACTCTAGTGGGACAATCTTTAGTGCAAACACATGGAAGTGAAATACCTAGAAATGTGCCACTCAAGAGACCAAGCAAGAATGAATATATAAAGTCACCCATAAAGGTAGTATGTGGGTCAGCTAGCAAAAATGAATGTATAGAAACATTTAATGTGTCATATTCATACTTACGCTTTGCTTCAGTTCTGTTTTTAGACTTCTGGTTGGTTTTGC